TGAAAAAACATAACTTAAAACAATGCATTAAAAAAAGTTCACAGACACTAGAATAATGAACCCTCATCTAGATCAAGGAATATAGACAAATGAAATGAATCAGTATGGTACAGTACAGAGAGCCCTGGATTTGAAAATGTTTAAATGCCAGCTATCAATAACTATGTGTGTGACCTTGGGCAAGTCACTTCATCTTTTGTGGACTGTTTTCTCACCTATAAAATCAAGAGGTTGAGTCACATATCCTTTAAGATACTAATATCTTTTACATCCACGTAGCCAAGCTCTAAATCCATAATCCTAACAACCTCAGAGCAGGATAAGTTGCTAAGTGACAATGGTTATGTGGTATTAATTCTGGAAATGTTATTGAGAACCTATAGGTGTGTTATCCTTCTTCCTGTTTCAGTGCATCGAAGAAAAATGACCAAGTACTGAAGAATATGGCCAGTGATCCAATGTCTTACGGAGGCAGTCAGATTTAAATTAGGACCAGAAAATAGGGTAATTTGTTAATAGGGGTTCTAGAAGACACAGTGGAAGAATAATATAGGAAGAAGACATGAACCACAGGGCCCCACCATTCCATCCAAGAGGGCAGGAACAGACAGAACCTGGTCCTGATCTGAAACAAAGTCCCAAATCAGGAAGTATGGCTAAAAAAAGGTAAACAGAAGAAGATAAATAAATTTTATGGTTACAGATGTATATCCAAGACACACATCCAAAAGAAGAGAGTAATTGCTTGGTTACAAAGACTCTAGGAGTCCCTGTAAGAAATAAAAAATAGATTAAAATATGAATATTGTAAATGAAATTTGAGCTTTAGAGGGAAAAAATTAGAAAGAAGATATGCAGCTTAGTATAGGACAATATAAACCTAACATGAAAAAGCAGACACCCTGAAAATTATCATTGAACAATGAGAAATCAATGATTCCATGAGCCAACAAGAAACAACAGAACAAAATCAAGTCTAAAAATTAGAAAATGAAAGGTATTTTGGGAAATAGGTCAAAGGGAGATAATCTAAGAATCATCACAATACCAGAGAGATGTGACCCAAAAAAAACAAAACAGAAACAAAAAGACCTCACAAATCTTAGATACCACACTCCAAAAACAATAAATAAAAATTGCCCAAATCTATTCAGAACGAGAAGAGAAAAGTGAAAATAGAAAGAATCCAATAATCCAATCCAGTCCAATAAACATTTAAGTGCTCACTCTGTACCAGGCACTATGCTAAGTGCCGATCGATGACACAATTAATAAATAGAAAGTCTCTGCTCTCAAGGAGTTTATAATCTAATGGGGGGGGAAGACAACACACAAAAGGAGGCAGGAAAGTGGTAGGGGGATACCCTAGAGGCAGGGCACTGACATCTTGTTCCATGGTGCTGAAATCAGGCAAAGCAGCGAATTCAGGATGGGGTGAGCTGAAAGTAACATTTCTGCCCTCTATAAAGGAAGGCATTAGGGAGAACTTCGTACTCTACCCTTCAGCCCTCCAATCAGAAGGAAGTGGTATGAATCAAGGCTTGGATTAGCAGCATGATGATGAGAATCCACCAATCATCTTCTGAAAGAAACAAAACACACACACACACACACACCCCAAATCCCAGGGATATCATAGCCCAAATCCAGAACTTCCAGGTCAAAAAAAAAAATATATTACACATAGAACTGAGTTTGAATAACCTGAAACCATGAGAGGGTCATAAAGATTGGTAGCTACGACCATCATCAAGGAAAAGAGACCTTGGAATTGTGATATTCAAGATGGCAAAAGTCTAAAATAAAAAAAAAATACCTGCCAGAATTGAGTATAATCTTAAAGGGGGAAAAAATGTGTGTTTCATGAAGCAGGTGACTTCCAAGCATTCCTGATGAAAAAGACCAGAGCTGAGAAGGAACTTTGAAATATAAACACAGGATTCATAAGAAACTTAAGATGGTAAATACATCTGAGCAAATGGAAAGGGCCTATCTTGGGATGGATTTTAATCAGAACAGCCCCTGAAATAAATAAGACATGTGTATATCATTCAAACAGTTAAGAGAAGGATATTTATTTAGCCATAGCAAGAGAAGGATATTCAACAAGGATAAGCACTGACACCCGAATTTATTCAGCTGAGCAAAGCTTTCTCATCTAAGTTGCCCACTGTTTTGGGGTTTTTTTTTTCTCCCAGGCACCAGAGAGGTCTGGAGCTCCTTGTGGCAGCTTTGTACTTAAGTAATCAGAAATTAATGGGAACAGCCTGGACCTTTAGTACCTTAAGTCAACCAAATCTTAAGGATGTTCTCAATTCCTTTTAAAGAAAAATTAGCCTAAATTACATGGAGGCAGGGGTTAGGATACTACTCCTACCATATCTCACTCCTTTGTGTTAAGGCTTTCTGGAGCAGTGGTGTCAAACTCAAATAGAAAGGGATTCCTGCCCCGGAGACATAATGACTTAAGCTATTAAAGCATGAGGCTTCACCTGAGACTTTTGGAACATCATGCAAAAACTGCAAATACACAGACTCTGTCAAATCCATGCTATTGAAGTCAGTGCTACAACAGGCCTGTGTAAGGAAAAAACGTAATGGCCATATTTCATAAGAAAAATAGTATAAAATTTGTCATAGATTATTTTCAGAACAACAAGGAAGAAAAGAGTGAAACAAATGAATAATTAATTAATTAATGTTGTCAGTAATTCTACGTGACCATTTATAATTTTTTTTTAATTTCCAAATCTCACGACATTTGTTTCCTAAAAGAGTCTTCTACTAAGGAAATCTTCATTTGATAGATGTAAATTTTTCATTTTATTCTTCAATTGTTCATGAATGAAAAGATGGTTAGTTTCTATTAGTGATTGTTTCTAAACAACCATCACTTTAAAATCCTCATCTTTCGTTAAATACTGAGTTACTTTGCTTCTCTAGTACATTTCATAGAGTCATGGAACCCCAAGAGTTGGAAAAGACCTCAAAAGTTAGCGAGGCCAGCAAATAACAGAGCAGGAATTTCCTCTCTATGATAAGCAGTCTAAACAACAGAAAGAAAAACGTTGTTTGTCTTTTTAGAAAAATACAGTGGATATTTCAGTAAGTTAAACAGCACACCACTGAGCCTTCCAAATTCTTCCTGGTTATTAAGTCTGTTTTTTAGAAATGATGAACCATTATTGCTTGCCTTTTCAATGAGTGGGAAAGGGGCTGGAGGGAGGGAGAAAATTTGGAGCTTAAAAAAAATGCTGAAAAATATTTTAAAAAAAAATAAAAGAAATGATGAACCAGGTAACAATGTTGGTGACCCTTGAATCCGCTCATGTCTACCTTCAATGCTCCCTCTCTTTTCTATCGCTGTGTTCCATATACATAGTATAAAAGGCCATTCTCAACGATGGTGAAAAAGAACAGAAAAACTGAAAAAGCTGTTAACTGTCTAGGGAATTTGATATAATTTTAACTTGAGTTCTGTATAATTGTACAAATAAGGCTTTAGGTAGAACTAAATTTAAGTTTTCTTTTAAAAGGCTTTTGTTTCATTCTGAGAGATAACTTAGCCAGTCTTAAAGTCATGGAGCCCTGGGTTCAAGTCCTGCCTCTGAAATACTATGTGACCATGGCACATCATTTCTGGTCCCAGGGTCCCAGGCAACTCTACAAAACTATACGTTAAAAAATACTGCAAATCTGCATTGCTAGAATAATTTTCTCATTGAGAATTTTCTATGCAGATAAATCACAGATCTGAACCCTGCCCCACAACAATCATCTATTTCTTTTTGTTTGTTTGTTTGTTTGTTTGTTTTGGGGAAGAAACTTTTTGAGGGGGAGGCAATCAGGATTAAATGACTTGCCCCAGGGTCACACAGCCAGTAAATGTCTGAGGCTGGATTTGAACTCAGATCCTCCTGACTCTAGGACCAGTGCTCTAACCACTGCAGCACCAAGCTGCCCCCAAAATCCTCAATTTCTGATGATATGTTCCAATTCTTCCTTTGTAGCCTCTTTCATACTCTGTCACTATTCCTCTAGCCCCAACAGTGAGAAGAGAAGGCAGAGGAAGTAAGTATATGGACACATTAGAATTACTTATCTGTCCACCCTTCCTATCAGACTTGGGAACATGAATATGATTTTACTTTCTATTCCTTTAGCTCTTTTTGTATTCAGAAACTAAAAGAGATTCTTCATCTAAAATAAGAGGGCTGGACTAGAAAATCTCTGAGGTCTTTCCCAAAGCTGTCTAAAAATCTAAAATAACTTAAATATGCAAGCAGGATGATAGTCTAAAATTACAACACCCTCAAGTATCAATATGAATCAGTCTTCAAAAAAAAAAAAGACTACACTAAATAGTGTTTTTAAAAGCCCGTTTGAGATTGAATCAAGCATAGCTTGGTATTTGTCATGATGAACACACACAGAGGGTTTATTTCCTAGGAAGCAGGTGTCTAGGTGTTATTCAAAGAACACTTGGCCTAATTTACAAATTGTTTCAGTCCTGTCCAACTCTTCATGATCCCATTTGGTGTTTTCTTAGCAGAGATAATGGAGAGATTTGCCATTTCCTTTTCCAGCTCATTCTACAGATGAGGAAACTGAGGCAAACAGTTAAGTGACTTGCCCAGGGTCACATGGCTAGTAAGTTTCTGGGGCTGGATTTGAACTCAGGTTTTCCTGACTCCAGACCTGGCCCTCTATCCACTTGACTTAGGAGTAGAGTTGAACAAATCCAGTCATTTCAAAGATGCCACAGACATTAAAGTCCAGCCTCTATCTCAAACCAAGCTAATCTATTTCTGAACAAAACCAGAGTTGAATTTACTTGTTTTTTGAAAGCCAGAGGGAATTTCTAGGAAGCAATACTACACATCACAGGGATGTAATTGTAAATCTTTAGAGTGATACTAATTAAATAAAACGAGGATAAATGGAAAGTGTTCAACCTACTTAGATGCAGAAACAATAAAAGGCATTATTAAATGACTCACCTTTAATATTTCTTCAACACAGTGTACTTCATTTGGGAAGGCCTGCTGAATGTTAAAAAAAAAAAAGGGGGAAAAAAAAAAGAAAAAAAAGGCATAAGAGAAGCGCTCACTGTAATGTTGAAATAAGCTAGTAGGAAAAACACCAGCCTCAGTTCTCCACAGAACCACAATACCCAAACATCGCAATCTTCATTCAGATAAGGAAAAATAAGACCCAAAGGGCTTCACACTTGAGCCAATACAAAAGAAAAAGGCAGTAGGTATCTCCAACTTCCATTCATTTTTTCCTAATCTATAAAACCCATGCCAAATAATTTTAATGTACACAAACTCAAGGAAGAAAGCTGTTAAATTAAACGTAGTCAGAAAGTGCCCTATCAAGTGACAAGGAACTTTTCATCAGCACCAGTCTGGAACCTCTGAAACACTCAAAGAGAAAGGACAACTTGACTCCCCTGTCATCTGAACCACTTATGATGATATACCTTCAAGGGCATTCCAACCGTGATCCCAGGCAGGGCTCAGTAACCTTTCAAGTCAGAGATGGAATGCCAAAACAGTACTGTGAATAAATTAAGTTTATTCTTCATTCACACTAAGTTCAGTAGGTCAATAATTTGTATCATTATTTAACTCCATTACTAACTAAATCTGATTAGAGGTTGGTAAGATATTCAAAAAATGTGGGTAGAAAAACCCATTACATAAAACAAAAGTAATGGCTAAACTTTTTGATCCTGAACCTCTCAGTATGTGTTTCCTTACATACAAACACACATACATACGTATATACACATGTATATGCACATATATGTGTATATATATACATGTACATGCATGCATATGGATATATTTATATAAAAGTACACAATCCCAACTTGTACTAAATTTACTTATTTATAAATTATATGCAAGTGCTATATAATTATTAATTATAATTATATATTATATATAATTATATATTATATATATATATAACAATAATTAAGCACCTTACAACATTTACACAAAAATATAAATTAAAAAAGGACGGTGGTTGCTGTCTGTCCTTCATTCTCTAAGACTAATGACATCAGGAGGGTGATATTTTGACTTGCAAGTGAATTGAATTTGAGTGAGGCAGAGCTGTGCAGTAATCTGCCTCTCCAGAGTCGTAAGAGTCTGAGTCATAAGAGGTCAATGGAAAGACATAGATCAGGACCACTGGAGATAGCCCAGGATGCAGTGGGGAGATCTTGACCTTTTTTAAAGCTAAGGCAAAAGTTAGTCTAGTCTAGAGGGGAAGACTGGATGAGATAAGATAAAATAACAAAACAGAGAGTCTGGGGAGTTACTAGGGGTGGGGTGGGAGGTGGGCACAGTTGGAGCTGAAATTGAAAGAGGTTGAGGGATTGCCTGAAGGGAGCGTTCCAGGAAGAGAAGGATGTGAAGCCAAGTCCTGGATTCATAAATCAGTGTTCTATTGTCCCTCGTAGCCTCACTAACTAGCTAGCGTGACTCATATTTCATTTAATCCAAAGAAGTCAATCCCTAGGACCCCATCTTTTTGACCCCATTAGAAATGGCAGCATCTGATATCACAGGATGGGGAGGACCTAGGGGAGACTTGGCTGGCTTTTTGTTTTGTTTTTTAATAAATTAATTCCTTCAACTTTCCTTTTCTTCACCTCACAGTTCTCTAACTTTATTTCAGTTTGCATCTTTCTCTCAGGTATTTCTTTCCAAAGTTAATCTTCCTTCTTACTTGTGTTTGAAATTATATCTTCCCACCTACTCCCAGCTTTTGCTCAATGAAATATCACCTTTTCCTTTGACTCTCCCATCTCTCCCTTTTTAATGGCCAATTATCTCTGCCTAATAATAACCATGCCACATGTCCTCATTCTCCCTTTCCAGTCACTAAGAAACTTTTCAAATGAGAAGTCTCAACCCCTAGCCTTCCCTTCCTCAGCATCTCTGCCCTTCCCAATTCAAAGTCATCTGACTTCCTCACTACACTACAAAGATCCTTTTTTCCCCAAAGTTAGCAAAGCCAGTCTACAACTCCAATGACTTTTTTTCAGTCTTAACCCCTATACACCTCAGTTTCTTCACTGATAAAAGGAGGTATGCAAGATAATCTCCTAAGGTCCCTTCAAATCTTCTTACAGATAAGGCAACTTGTGTGTAAGCAGGCTAAGTGAGAGCTAATCATAATCAGAGCTAGGGTCATAACAATGAGGCCTAGTAATTATCACATTTGTATTTCCAGGCTTCCTTGTTCCCTTTAACTCCAGAACAAGAGCTCTTAACCTTTTTTTCTGTCATCAACTCCACTGAGAGTCTGGTGAAGACATATCCCTGCTCAGAATGTTTATAAATGCATAAAGTGAAATACATAGGATTATGAAGGAAACCAATTAATACAATCATCAAAATATGAAAAAAAAAAGTTCACAGATGCCAGATTAAGAACCTCTAACTCTATAATCATATTTCAATTAGCTGAACATAACTACCTCTCTGGAATTCTCCTCCATCCCCCAGCAGCCTTCTCACTGAGGAAGATGCCACTAGCCCTGGGGCTTTCTCAGTCTAGAAGACCATCTGACCCTGTGTCCCTCTCCTCAGGCTGGTGAGCTCCTCCTGAAGCTTTCACTTTGAGAAGATGCTCTGGTCAGCCATGCTCACTTTTTTTTACTCATTTCCCAACTCATTTCCTAACTCTGGGCTTCTCTTTCCTACTTGCTACCCTGATTTTCAGCTCCCTTTTCTATGCTGTTTATCCCCAGTAGAATGTAATCTCTTAGAGAACGGGAACCATCTTTGTTTTTTGCTTGTGTCCGTAGAAAGAACATGAACACAAGATAGAGATTTTCAAACAAATGCAGGGGAGAATGAAGACAGTAACCAGGGGAGGGTATAGATCAGTAATGGGCTGCATAATCAGGCAAATCGTGGGAGAGGAGCCTTACCAGGAGACAGTGACCTCTGTGACACTGGCAATAATTAGTACTGTTCTGGGAGTGAGGCACAATGGAAAAAGGGAATCCCCAGAACAAACTCTACAAGGCAGTAGAAGAAACTGCCTAAAGGCTAGAGTCTGGAAGGCTACTTTGGAAGCTTTGATTGTACAAGGAATTCAGAGAAAAGAAAGACACCAGAAAATTACAGGGGTCACAAATCAGAGAATCAGAGTCTAGAAGAGAAAGTAAAAGATAATGGATACATGGAGAGTGGCATGAATCCTTTTTGGAAATGGGCATAAAAGTGAAATTTAAAAAACAAATGGACACAACTAATTGAAGGAGAGGAGGAGAAGGGGGACCTCTAGCAAAACTCTAAAGAAAAAGGGGTAACAAATGAAAGGAAAAGATCAGGGGTGAAGGAAAGAGAGTCAGTGGGAATAGGGCCACCATTAAAAGAGATTAAGGTAAAGTAACTTAAGGAAGATGGCACTATGTTTACAGCAGAAGAGGTAAAAAATCATAGCCTGGGGGAAATAAAAACTAATAGCAGAGATAAATGGAGGAAAACATAAACCCCTCATAACTTTAAATGTGAATGGATCAAACAATTCAACAAAAAGAAAAAAAAATGACAGTTTGGATAACGAAACAAAACCCTATAATCTGATGCTTACAAGAAACACATTAAAAATAAAAAATAAACACAAAATAAAACTGGGAGAGATGGGAAAAAAATTACCATGCAACAAAAAAGTAAGAGTTGCAATCATGTGATCTAACAAAGTAAAAACAAACATTCAAAAAAATGACATGGGACAAACAAGGAAACTATGTTATGCTGAAAGGAACCACAGACAATAAACCAATATCAGTAACAATTACTTAGATGCTCCAAATGCCTTAGCAACCAAATTCATAAAGGAAACATCTAAGCTACGAGAAGACATTGAGAGCAACACAATAGTGACAGGAAACCTCAACGTCCCTCTATCAGTTTTGAAAGAAAGACAAACAAAAGGGAAAGTATGGAACAGAACAAAGTGCTGGAAAAATCAGAGTTGCAAAAACATCTTCCAAATGGGAAAGCAAAAGAATTTATTTCTCAGCACCACATGGAATTTTTACAAAAGGTGACCATATATAAGGGCACAAAGATATTGCAAACAAATGTAAAAAGGTAGAAACAGTTAATACGCCGTTTACGGACCATAAGGCAGTGAAAACAGTCATTGGTTCAGAGGCCAAAAACAAAAGATACAGAGACAAATAGAGACTTAATAATGGAATCTTAAATAATGAGTATTCAAAGAACAAGTCACAGAAACAATTAATAACTACGTAAAAGAAAATGTTAATGATAAAACAACACATCAAAATTTCTGAGATGCAGTAAATGCAGTCCTGGGGTGAGTTGCAGTGGGGGTGGGGGGATTATATCCTTACAAACATACATTAACAAATTGGAAAAAGTGGCTTAATGAATTGAATGTGCAGTGTGAAAAATTAGAAAACCAACAAACGAACCTGAAATATGCAACAAAAAAAGACATTAAAAATTAGAGGGGAAATAGATAAAATTGGGGGGTTGAGGAAACCATAGAAATGATCAAACTAAAAGCTGGTTCTATGAAAAGACTAATAAAATTGATAAACTCACAGCTAACTGATTAAAAAAGAGCAGAAAACCAAATCAATAAAATAGCAAATAAACAAGGTGATGTCACAGCAAAAACAAACAAAAATAATCAGAACATATTATGCGTGGTTATATGTTAACAAAACTAATAACATTAAAGAGATAAAGGAATACTTTCAAGAATAGACAAACTATCAGAATATCAGAAAGAGATCTTAAAGAACTCAATCTCAGAAACAGAAATCGATGTAGCTGCAAAAGAACTATCAACAAAATATTCCTGCTCCTGTTGGATTCACAGGAGAATTATTTTCAAAAACTGAGAAAGTAAGCTCTGTGCCAGAATCCTTTTGTGAGAAAAACACAGCCCTAATGCCTAAACCAGGGAAAGATAAAACATAGAGGAAAGCTATAGGCCAATATCATTAATGAACACTGATACAAAAATTTTAAATACAATT